CGACCGACCTGAATGCTAGCTCTGATGTAGTCTTGCCATGCCAACTTCATTGTACCTTTGTTGTCAACCTTTCTTAGTGAAACTCTTGCCAACTTGCCCCGTGAACTAGCAAACAGTGTGTGCACTAGGAAAACGACTAAGGACCAACGAACGCAGAGATCACACGAGCACCCGTGCCTAGCCCGTAGTCTAGCTCCCGTTGTAGTAGTTATCTCCGCAGCGACAGCAAGGAAACGAATGAGGGAACTCAGCGAATTGTCCATCCACTGGCGGTATGAAAACCGGCATGAATAAGGACGAGTGGCAGCAGCAGCAGCAGCAGCAGTAGCAGCAGCAGCAGCAGCAGCAGCAGCAGCAGCAGCAGCAGCAGCAGCAGCAGCAGCAAGAAGCATGCCCCAAGGCAAGCAATGGGAGGAGACGGAGAGGTGGTGAGTCAAACAACAAATGTGGAGGAAAGACTGGTCATTCAATAAAGTGCACCAGTGATGGGCTGTTTGTGTGTTGAGCCATTAGAGTCGACTCAGAAGTAAATAAATGTGGAGGAAAGACTGGTGGATGAGAGACGGGATGAGGTTCGTATACGGTCTGAGGGCAACAACATGCAAGGGACCTGGGTACTGCAGGAAAGCGTTCATGCAGACATGAGGTATATATAAACAAAACTGCACGAAATATCTAACGTTGTATGCTGGAGAAGTGAGGATCATGCCATACGTACTGGGTCTTGCAACACATAACGATCTTATGCAGAATTGGGAAATGCAAACGATGTGAACTAGAATGATACGTACTGTGTGATACTAAGCAGTGCAACTGTACTGTACGCACAGGCGTGTGAGACGAGTGAGCAGTGACAATATGGGTGGGATGGGTCCAAACAGGCCTTGGTTTGATAAGTCACTGCAGAGTAGGTGGGGAGGGAGTGGATAAGGTTGAAGTGAGGAGGAGAAGGATGAAGATGAAATGAGGAAAGAGTGAGAAGGGAAGGTAAAAGAGGGGGAGATGGGGAGGGAGCGTACACACACAGGCGATAGCAGGAAGGTTCCAAAGTGGGAAAGTGGGTGGCTAAGAGGGGACAGTAAGGGCCGAGCACAAGCAACGGGACTGGAGGGACAAAATGGAAGAGGCAAGAGGTGCCTCAGACTTGCACAGGGAAGATGGGAGTAGCTGCGGAGAAACGTCACTGCCATCCTACACATCACAACCCAGCTTAGTGCATACTGTAACACATGCGACACTCACACAGGAGCAAAAAGCATGTTCCACTTACAGACTGACGATGAACTTTTCGGAATCGGGAACGACAAAGCGGAGGAGGGAGACTGGGGTTTCTGACTGCCACGGTCCACGAGGGCTGCCCCACAATACCAACAGGGCTTCCAGGACTTGCACTGGCAGAATCACACGTTCAGACGGGAGGAAGAAGTTGATATGAACATTGAATCGTATCGTGAGGAAAACAAAGCTGTGGAAGAGAGAGCCTTTATGATGAGGGTCACGGATACATAGTGAGTCCATCCATCCATAGCTCTATTTCGTTTTGATTCTCTGCATGACGGCAAGTCTGAGGATAACAAGACGTCAATCTCCGTTCACCCAGCATGAGTACGCACCCTGTGAGCTCTCCAGCACAGAAACACAGGACATCTCGGTAGGCCCAGGCACGTATCCCTCAAAGCACTGGCACTGCATCTGGCCAGCGCCCCACCATTCACCCCACCCCTCGCCAAAGCAGTAGCCGTGGCCGGCATAGGGGGGGACGGAGGAGCCAATCATCCCACAGAAGTCGGAGCACGTGGCGAGCTGCTCGACCTCCAACAGGCACGGCACATCTTCCGGCGCGAAGCAGTTGTTCCGCACGTCCACTTTGACGCTTTCGCAAACCTTTCCCGCGATAATTCCAGACCAAATGAAGTTGTTGCGTAGTGAGCTGCGTGGAAGGGAAGGGAGGAGATGTGAGGGGAGAAGAGAAGTGGGGTGAGGTGAGAGAGAGATGGAGGTCAGAGGCGGAGGGATGGTGTGTGCGGGCATTCGCAAAGCAACGCTTGGGCTGGGTGTGCGCACCTGCAAAGCATTACCTGGGCTGGGTGTGCGCACCTGCAAAGCATCACAAGCGCACCCCCAAAGCACTACCTGAGCTGAGTGTGCACAGCATTCTGTGAGCATGCACACTCACAGAGATACCAAGCTGCTCATTTTAGTCAGAGTTGGCATGGAGCCTGTGAAGTAGTTGTACGAGATGTCTCTGCCGGGAGAAAGGCATGGAAAGACACGCATGAAGAGGACAAGCAAGATGGGAAGATCGAGAAGAGAGAGAACAATAGAAAACCATTGTTCCAGTTCACTAAAAGCAAGATTACATACTACCAGCAAGATATAATGCTAGCACCAAGCTTACAGGTAGCTGAGCTGGACCAAGCCTGTGACCCCAGGAAAAGTGCCGAAGAAGCCATTACAACTAAGACCGCTGTAATGGTAGGTGAATTGAAGATATAGCAGGGGATTATACAGACGAGGGTGACGGAGGTAGGTGATTAGGTGTGGGTAAGATCGATTACAGCTTGAGACAAGATTGAAACAATCAATAGGCCGAATGGAAACGCGTGCAGCGTGCTGGCAGACATCTCAGGATGTGTTGCATTGCATCCCAGATCCAGCCGTATGGCAAGGACACTCTCCCCCGGGCACTTGCACTTTGAGAGGAAGCAGTTACACAGGAAAAAGACAGCTGTCTCACAGAAAAAGAAAGGAGCAGTTGCACAGGAAGGAAGAACTTACAGGTGCTTCAGGTATGTCATCATTGAAATCGCTGCAGGCACTGTCCCTGGAAGAAATGCATCCGAAAGGACTCTGCCAAGACAAGAAAGAATGCTTGGGTTGGATAGCACCTGCTTCCTTTTCTGCGTGAAAGATACTTCAAGCGGCGTGCAGGAAGACATTACTAGAAGCAGAATTGTGCAACCTGAGTGAGAGAGCGAGAGCAAAAATTTTGACACCACAGTGAATATGCAGAGCATACACAAAATATACATTACATATATTTTCATATATATATCAACAAACAAACTGAACAGGATAGAATACTGATGGGAGAAACCCACATGTGGGTGAGGTGTGGAAGAGTAAAGAGCCCTGAAGGAAAGCTGTCTTTGACCTCAACCCTTGACACTGTTCTGCATAGTCAAATAGTAAGAAAAGGCACAGGTGCAGGTCAAGCTGTGCTGTGAGGAGATTCAAAGTAGAGTAAACGCAGGGGTCCTTATACTACAGGCACGGACAAAAAAACCTGACAAGTGAAACCTCTCAAATTAGGCATGCGGGAGTGGTCGAGCCACAGGCTCGGCTTGTATCTTTGGTTGGTTCGGACCAATTTTCGTCGACGAGCCAAAGCATCTCCCTTCTACTATTTTTGCATCCCAGCCATCATTCCGTCTTGTTTCCTCGCATTTCGACCTTGCACCTAGCCCTTCGCACCACACAGTGTGTGATGGCAGTCAATTTGTCCTGCTTGCTCTCGTGTTTCACCTGAACTATGTCTAGGGTGAGTAAGCTTGCATTGTACGGGGTTAGGATGGTGCAACTAGGTCATAGGTCAGACTGCGAACGCGAGACGGCTCAGCTTCTGGCAGGCCAGTCTGGGTTGTCCCTACCCACACCCAGAGGCTGATACATTCAAGCCTTGAGCCAACCTCTTTCTTGGCTCAGTTGGTCAAGACTCGACCTGGCATGGCTTGGAAAGACAAAGGCAAGCCTATTGCTTTTTTAGATACGCCTGGCCATGAAGCTTTTACAGCAATGCGTGCTCGCCGGGCTAAGCTAACGGATATTGCTATTATTTTAGTTGCTGCTGATGATGGGGTCAGGCCACAAACTAGAGAAGCGATCAACCATGCTCAGTTAGCTAGTGTGCCAGTTGTAATCGCTATTAATAAAATTGATAGACCTGAAGCCAATCCGAAGAAAGTAAAAGAGGAATTAGCCAACCTGAAATGAGTGGCGCATCCGCACGTGCTCGGCTTCACGTAATCGGCCAGGCATTTGTTTTGTTCTTTTACTAAAGAGACCAAGCCATGAAGACAGGAGTGGAGGGAGGATGGGTATTGTGGGTGGGAGGGTATGAAACGTCAGAGTTGCTTACAGCTTAATAAGGTTGGTCAGCTGACTTATGAACTGTGGAATAGAACAAGACAAGCTGTAGGCGTTGCCTATGTCTCTGGTGGACAGAGATGTGACTTGCAACCAATGGTTAAGGAGAGAGGGGCACACATGACAAGCGGTCAGCATGCAACGGCAGCCATAGATACATATATGGATTGCATTGGCATGGGGCTGTGGACATGCATCACACGCGATCGGCACGGGAGGAGTGAGACACAGGGCATGCAATGTCCTTGACAAGCGTACATACATGACATGGAAGGACAAGCATACATACATGACAGATAGCCTTGACAGGAGGCTGATGGACTCGGGTATTTCACCATCAACGACTTTATTATCAGGGAGGATCTTGGAGGGAAGGGACAGGGACACGACGTCAAAAGACAAACGTGAGGAGTATAATGGGACAGGGATTGAAAGAAAGGAACATTGTATGGTAACAATGGTGCAACAAAGCAGCAGCACTTTCAACTACTGTGACACACCATTCTGTAACCATGCCATCATTGTCGCAGGTGAGCAAGTCTGCAGTCTTGCAGTCGTCCCCGTCCTGCCAGCCTTTGAAGCCTTGGGTGCTGCCACCGTACAAGCTTTCGATCCACGATCTCCTCAAATCCGCAAGGAATGGCACTGCCACCCCCAAACACATGTTCGGCACGAATGCGCGGCAGGAAAGTGAGCAGCGCTAGTGATCAACATGCCGTTTTCCGCATGCATGTGCAGAGGGGAAGAATTGATATGGTGTAAAACAGCGCCCAGGAACAAGCCTCTCGATCCCAGCTCCTACAATCAATCGTCAGACCGTTTCCCCCTTTTCCAAGCCACGCCACCAGCCATCCTTACGCTGAGAGACGTGCCACAGAGTACCGCTGGTGGAAACACAAGTCCCACGGTCCTCGACGTAAGGAAACCCTGCATCACACACACACTTGGCCTGCGCTGCAGAGTAGGGAGGATCCCCGTCCCAGTAGCAGTATCCACGGCCGTTACAGGCCGCGGAGGAGGGCGAGATGCCGCAGAAGGCGGAGCACTCATCCGATGATCGTTGCGCGTCGCTGAAATCACAGGGTTGGTTGAGGCAGTTGCTACGGATCTTCACATTCTCCTCCCAGTCAGCCATGTCGCATATCTGGCGAGGGAAATCATTGTTAGACAGGTATTTGTTGCTCACGTCACTGCATCGGAAAGGCGGGAGGGGAGAGCAAAGGAGGGGGAGGGCGGAACGAGGGGAAAGGGTTGAAGGAGGAGAGGGTGGAAGGAGGGGAAAGGGTGGAAGGAGGGGAAAGGGTGGAAGGAGGAGAGGGTGGAAGGAGGGGAAGGGGTGGAAGGAGGAGAGGGTGGAAGGAGGGGAAAGGGTGGAAGGAGGGGAAAGGGTGGAAGGAGGGTAGGGAAGGAGGGGAAAGGGTGGAAGGAGGGGAAAGGGTGGAAGGAAGGGAGAGGGTGGAAGGAGGGGAGAGGGTGGAAGGAGGGGAGAGGTCACAGAAGGCTGGCAATTGTAAGCAGGTCATTGCGGTTGGTTGCTGGGAGCAGAGGAGGCTGTGGGCAGGTTGCCCCTTTGCAGGCTGAGTCACTGAGTTTGAGACATCTCTAAATTTGAGCAGATCGCGGTTGGTTGCTGGGGCCAGCGGTGGCTGTGGGCAGCTGCTGTGCTGGCAGGTTCCTCCTTTGCACGCTGGGTTTAGGGTTTGTCGGGAGGGAGGAGGTTGCTTGCTCGATAAGGCAGTTTTCCTAAACGGAACAGAACAAGGAAGAAAGGCATGTGTGGAGACGTGAGGAGGGAGATACAGGGGGGGGCAGGGGGGAAGAGGGGGTGGGGAGGGGGGGAAGCAGGGAGTGTGGCAGGAAACTCGAATCAATTATGTACAGGTAACTTGCCTTTTCCATTAGGGCAGTTCAGCACTCAAAGAAGGACTGGATGACGGTGCTGGATATGGATGCATGGACTGTGAGTGATTGTGAGAGATCGGTGCCCAGGCAGGCAGGTCCATGAGGAGGCATGTTGAACGTGACTCACACCCAAGTAAGTGCTTCCAGGTTGTTGATTGACGCCGGCAACGAGCCTGAGAGCTGGTTGCTTGACAAGTCACTGCGCATGTGAACGTGCACAACGAGACATAGGTTGGTTGGATGGCACCATGACAAAAAGCACACCGTTTGAAGCTTGTGAGCGAGTATAGATGCTGGAGGAAAGCAAGGCAACAAGCTAGAGCAAGCAGTTTGCGAGCTGCCAAGGAAACGAATTCTCTATGAACTGTGATCTGAAGCTTATGAGCGAGGGGCTCGCATAGTTGAAGTTCCAAGCTTGAGAGAGAGTGGCTAACATTTTTTGTAGACTGGTGAGGCGGGCAAAGCAGTCAGGGACAGAGCCGGCAAAGTTGTTGCTGCCCAATTTGCTGCGTGGCAAGGAGGGGGGGTGGAGAGCAGGCACTGAGGAGGAGTGATGGGACTGAGGGAAGAGGAGTGGGGAGTGACGAGGGCACATCAGAGTGGATCGTCTTGGTACCATATCACATGGGTCGTGCTCGACAAACCGTCATCGTCCGGGTAGAAGACAGTGTCAAATGGAGGACACAGTTGCCTTCAGTTGGGGTATAATTTATTAAAAAAAGGGGCCTATTATAAGGGACTCAATTATTAGTAAAATACAAGAGCTATCTGTCTGGTAGTTGAAACAGTTATATACTCTGCTGAGAATTAGCGCGTACGTTTTTATCTGTGCGTGCGCAATTCCGTGCATGTGCTGACTCAGAAAACACAAAAACTACCTCGTGCAGCGTCAGCGGGCATTCCTCGGCGTCTTCACAACGATTGCCAAAGCCGGCAGCTTTGGAGGATCTGCACCCTTTTTCTGGCGTGAAAAAACAGTATATGTACCCTAAACAGCTCCCGTATATCAAATCTATAAGACACCCAAATTTCCCCGTTTATAAGAGAAATCGCCCTTTTTCTTGGCAGTTCAAGTTAAGATGGAAATCTACTTTCCGGTCAATGGCGAAAGCTTTTATGTGGATTGAGAGTGGCAGTGGATGTGGGGCGAGCGTGCAGGTTCCTTCTAGGGAGCTGCCTTACATGTACGTGAGTGCGGTCAAGCTGTCGAAGGAAGCGATGGTCCTAGAGAAGCGGTTGTTCGACAGGTCGCTGCCGAAGGATGGGATAAAATAACTCAAATAAGGCCTAGCAACGCACAGCATTGGCATGGAGGACTAGAAGCGGTGCTGGATCTGGGTGGTACATGAGTGACTGTGAGGATTTGTGTGCCCAGGACCATGAGTAGGCAAGTTGAATTTGACTCACAGCAGATCAAGTGCTTCCAAGTTGTTGATTGACGCCGGTAACGAGCCTGAGAGCTGGTTGTATGAAAGGTCACTGCGCATGCCCACAACAAGACATACGTTGGTTGGGTGGCACCATGACAAGCACCAAATCGTTTGCTTGAGTACAGATGCTGGAAAGAAAAGACAACTAGAAACGAGCACGCAGTTGGCGAGTTGCCAAGGAAGCGACGCTCTACTTGTACTGTGATGTGAATCTTATGAGTGATGAACTCACATAAGGGAAAGAAGGACGACCAGAATTCTGCCGCGAGGTTTGCTTCGGTGAAAGTTATGGAGAGTCATTCGAGGAATGTGGAGTCTTTAAGTCGTGCAATATCTACAGGGAGTCCACGTCTTTAAAATTGGGGTATGAGATGGTGGCACGGGCATGAGATGGATGGTGGCACGGGCATGAGATGGATGGTGGCACGGGCATGAGGAGGAGGTTACAGGGAGGTGAGGTGCAGCAGGGCTCCAATGCTGGATGGCAGGGAGTCGAGCTTGTTTCCATTCGCCAGGTCTCTGGGACGAGAGGGAGAGGGACAGCCACGCAGGGATAGGCCGAAAGGGTGGGAGACAGGAAGGGAGGAGAAATCAAACAAGGAAGAAATGTTCGGAGCGCGGACGAAAATCTGGACAAGAAATCTAGGGTAACTTTTCCGACTGGCATTGAGGAGGAAACTGTAACTTGAACAACAGTTCACACAACGCACATAAGTCCGCTTGCTTGTGAGTAACAAATGTAAAATTGTGTGAATCCGTTATTCGTAATCACAGATTCTCACTACTAGACGCCTACACTACATTCTGGGTAAGAACAATGACATGGCGGTAACCATGCTCCACGTACTGGTGATCACTCCTTTTATATTTCACGCAGGTACATGCCCACGTGTACATGATGATGGAACCCTTTTATGCTACTTGGTAGGTAAACATGTCTCATGTAAACATGCTACTTGGAACCCTGATAACCACGCCTTACATGCTGACAACCATGCCCGTGCTGTTGCAAGTTAGCACTTGAGCGGTGGTGCAATCGTCCCGTGAAATCAACCACCTGCCCGTCCACACTCAATGCCGCCCGCAGGTCCTGGATCGCAAGCACTGCCAAGCACGCAACAAGGTGGGGGGTGACGGAAAAGGGAGGGGAGAGGGAAGGGGACGAGAAGGAGGTGAGTAGAATGAGTGAGGGATGCAACAAAATGGACAGACGGGCCAATAGAACGATACCACCTTCATCATCAGGGCCTATTGGACCCCGGAGCCAAACGGCGCGGCGGTGCAAAGCTCCTCCGGAGTTATTTTGATATCAGCATGTTAGCTGTTTCATGGAGCCCTTGTTTCCCAGTCACTGTTTCCTGCACCGTCTGCCCTTGCCGCGTTTCGACGTCGACTTCTTGAAAACTAACGCCATGTGCTTTTTACACGCAACTTGTGCTTCCCACTTCCGACTTGGTGACCTGACAGTGTAACGCCTGTGGGTTGTGTTAAGGGCATTCCGCTGCGCCAAATTAACACCCTCGTTTTGACCCAGTGGGTAGCGAGGTGTTATAGTAGTACCAAGGAGTTGTTGCGACGACCGTCGTCCATGCCCAAGTGACAGCTGCGAACACGTGCGACGCGTCCCGGGATCCCGGGAAGTCTAGGAAGGTAACGGATACCTTGCGACGCGTGCCAGGGGATGGCAGCGGCGGCACTGGCGGAGTGGAACAGCAGAGCAGCCAGCAGCACCAGAAGCTTCCGCAGAAGCCTGTACTCCCACATAAATTCCTTGCATGGCGGCGTGTAAGAGCGCTCTATTGGTTCCACCTTCATCTTGCCTGAAAAGTGTTCTAACGCGGTGGATCCGATGGTGCGTTCTTAGGTGATGTCACCGGTAGTAACATGCCAGCATCGCGGAAAAGGCTTTGGCCCAAAATCGAGTTTAAGTCTGAAGGCTGCAGAAAAGTTGCTGATTTGTATCGGGAACGTATCCAAAAATCATTGACTGAATTTTGCAACTCACACAAATTTCGGATACAAGGGGTAACCGAGCCGCGAATTTTGGGTACGTGGGGTACCCGAGGCGCAAATTTTGGATTCGTGGGTTACTCGAACCGCGCATTTCTAGCGTCAACTTCGAAACATCCTGACCGAACTGTACACCTGGTCACGACCGACCCTTGGGAGTCCCCCATGGTGTGATACTGCTGGTATCCGATCGATGAACGCTTTCACGAGATTTGCGAGCACAGTAACGAGGATACATAACAGGACAAATCTCGCCAAGGTGCAACCAACACTCGAAACGGGCAACTGGCACACGGGTTCAAAGTCACACTCAATCAATGCTAAGTGTTCAGATTCCAGGTACTGACGTGGCTTCCCCGGACCAGGGTTTAGCTAACCCGTAACGAAGTGGTCCATCGTAATGATTTTTAACTAACCAATCACTGGTGTGCTCTTGCCTACCTCCGAAATCCACTGCTATTTTTGACGACACATCAGCACACCTCCGAGCTCTAGAAGCATCTGTCTTTCTTACCCTCACACTGCACTTGACTCTATCCCGTACAAGCACCCGTCACCTGCCTCATTTTCACACAACTGGTTGAGATTCTTCAATTCTTGCATACATCTCCTGCCTCTAAGTGTGCACCCGAAGACGACAGCACTTTTTTTTTTTATTGTATCTTATCACTGCTGCTTACTCAGATCTGTTGGAGGTTGCGCGGGGGGGAGGTTTGCCCCCAACCACCGAACGGTGCTTCTCAAGTGTTCCAAGGAGATTGTCTTCGCTGCAGGTTTCGCGAAGGAGCTGGTTGACTTCGGAGGACTTGCACAGGAACATTCGAGACTCAAGGAGAATTCGGTTCGGTGAAATTCGGGTGCCGAATTTCACCCCTTCGAAATGTTACGAGAACATTCGCGAAGTGTAGCGATGCGATGTTACGAACGCGGTTCGATGTTGATTGCATGCTATAAAACTAGTTGCTTTGTATTGCATGCTTCATACTGAAATCGAGGATCACTTTGTACACAGTGCAAGTCGACACAAATTCCAGAGAGTTTCCAATCCCTCAAACATAGAGCATAGCCTTCACGTGAACGCCTATATCTCGGCAGATACTTAGGCGATCGACGTGTTCTACGGCTCGTTGGAAAGCCAACAGAGTGCTCTACTGATTAGAACAAATCACAGTTCCTGCAAA